CTGCCCAAAGAAGAAGCAAACCCATGAGGAGATCCAAGCACAAATAGCTAAACTGCAGAAGGAAGCAGACAGACTTGAAGAACTTAGAAAGGACATGAAGATTGAGGAGATAAAAAGTGGAGCTGACAAGTGAGTGATTCCATTTGGTTAGCCCAAGAACTTAATGATGTGTCTCAGAATACTGTCAGTTGGACTTATGTTAGCTCTGTAGGTACTTATTTACATATGCATTTGAATATACCTGAACCTGTTACTCTGAACACACCAAAGGAATCATAAAAACCTAAGACTCAATTGTCTGTAGGCTGAACAGAGGAGAGACCTCCAATGGCTAGCTAAAGCTATTCAATACTGAGTGGATTTAGCAGACCATCTGAAATGCCAAAACTGAAGCTGAAGCAAAGGCAGTACTCAAAAATTAGATACACAAGATATGAGCCAAAGAAGTAATTAATGAGATGATTGAAGAGGTGAAGAAGGCAGAGAGGAATCAAGTCTTGGAATGGCTGGATGAATTGAGAGGGCCCAAGAAGTATATTCAGTGATAGAAAGCCACTGGCAAGAACCTTATTGTCAAGGCCCAGATTAAAACTCTGACCATCTAATTCAAACATGCCATCACAGCTCTAATTGACAGTGGCTGTACTGGAAGCTCTATCAATTATGCTTTCATCACTAAGCACAACCTTCCCACTTGAGCCACTGCAGCTCCAATTCCAGTATATAATGCTAATGGAACTAAGAATCAGGCTGATTCAATTACTGAATTCATAGAACTCCAGTTAACAATCAGAGATCACTTGGAACAGATTGATCTGGCTATGACTGAGCTAGGATCCAAGAAGATCTTCCTGGGTCATGACTGGCTTATTCAGTACAATCTGCTAATCAATTGGAAGACCAGACAGATCACATTTGTTTAATGCTGATGCTATAAAATATCTTTTGAATTATCCAATGAGGTCTCAAAGAATCACTGAGATGAGGAAATAGAGGATAGAGAGATAATATTGGCCATGGACATGAATCATATGGTCTATATCCAAGTGGTGCATCATACCAATGACCTGGCAGCAAGAGCAAATAATAAGGAGGCCAAGACATTTGAGAAACTGATACTCAAGTGGACATAAGACTTTCATGACCTATTCACCAAAGAGAGCTTCAATGCACTACTAGAGCCAAAACCTTAGGATCATGCAATCAAACTCATTCCTAATGCCAGCACTAATCTCAATTGCAAAGTATACAATCTCAGTATACCAGAACAGATTGAGTTAGACAAGTTCTTAGAGGAGAACTTATCTAGTGAGCAAATAAAGCCATCAAAGTTCCTTATAGCATTACTTTTCTTCTTTATCAAAAAGAAGGACAGTAAACTCTGACTGGTTTAGGACTATCAGAAACTCAATGAGATAATGATCAAAAATTATTACCCTCTCCTACTGATTTTTAAATTGATAGACAAATTTTATAGTGTCTAATACTACATTAAGCTTGATGTTCAGTGGGGATACAATAACATGCAAATTCAGAAGGGAGATGAGTGGAAGGCTGCATTTCAAACTAATTATAGGCTCTTTGAGCTAATAGTCATGTTCTTTGGACTGACCAATTCTCTCACAATATTCCAGTGAATGATGAATGATATTTTCAGAGATCTCATCATTATGGGAAAGGTCATGATCTATCTGGACAACATCTTGATCATATCAAAAGATAGAGATGAGCACCAATGCTTAGTTCACCAGGTACTAAAACTAATGAGAAAACACAAGCTATTTCTCAAAGCTGACAAGTGTGAATTCAAGGTGCTCAAAACCAAGTATCTTGGAGTAATTATCAGTGAAGGAAGTATCTGAATGGACCCCATCAAGGTGGCAGGGATGACAGAATGGCTGAAGCTGACCAAAAAAAAGAAGCTACAATCTTTTCTCAGATTTATGAACTTTTATCACTGATTTATTTGAGATTACAGCAAGGTTGTCCACTCTATAATCCAACTTACAGAGAATGCCCCCTGGATCTGGAGAGTGGCCTAGTGATCTGCATTCAATGATCTGAAGAGGCAAATAGCCAAAGATGTGATACTCAGTGCTAATAGAGAAAGAGAAGTTTTGAGTTGAAGCCAACTCAAGCAAGAGAGTGATAGATGCAGTACTCTCACAGGCACAGGGTGAAAAATAGTGACCTGTTGCATTCCTCTCAAAGGTGTTAATCACCACTGAATGAAACTGTGAGATTTATAACAAGAAACTCTTAGCCATCATGCTGGCACTCACCAAGTGAAGACATTACCTGATTGGCACTGTTCACACCTTTGAGGTCTGGACTGATCATCAAAACCTATATTATTTCTGATTGCCACAGAAACTCAACTGATGATAAGCATGCTGAGTTACTGAGCTCATGCAATATCAATACACCTTGTATCATAAGGTGAAAACAGTAAACAGAAAGGCAGATCTGTTGAATTGTAAACTCAATCATGACCAGAGAGAGGAAGACAATGAAGAAATAACACTTTTGAAACTGGAACACTTCTGTGCCATGATTATGCCAATGGAAGCAGAAATCCATGAGTGAATCAAGAGTGCAATGCAACAGACAGAATTGTGGAATCAACAGATTGCCCCCTCAATCAATCATAAGTAGAGCATAACCAAGTCACAAGACCTGATCTACTACAATAATGTTAAGCCTAAATTCCACATGATTAGAGACATGTGATAAACTGACAGAACCTTGCACTTCAGGTTATACTGTCAGAGTCCACTTGTGTGTGACTAGTGTTGTATAGTCAAGGCATTTGCAGTTTGCTCGAGATAAGATAGTGAAGTAAAACTTTAGCTCGAAGCTGGGGTATTACAGCAAGAGCTACACTACTTAAATACTGTTCTGTTATCATGCTATAAATAAATGTTTACAAAAGATATTGTCTGTCATAGAGCTGTTACCCCTGCTGTTGCCAGGCTTTCCACAAAGACTGTTGTCTGGTAGGCTGTTGTCGTTGCTGTTACTGCTGTTTAGTGACAAAAGAAGTATTGTCTCTCCCTTCACAGTGCACAGCCATACGATAAGATAATGACCAACTGAGTTGCTGACCAAGCTTTCCCATGGTCCTAAGCACTAGCCTAAGTGCCCTGACTAAGCAGAGATAGAGGTCATTTCCAAAGAAAAAGAAAAGAAAATAGAGAAAATCATAACAAATAATCAAATCTACATTTCCTATGACTATACTCTCTGAGGTGAGATTATTGCAATCTCTCATGACTATATCACTGTGGGACATCTAGAGATTGCAAAGACAAAGAGTTTAGTTTTGAGAGAATACTGATGGCCAAAGATGAGACAAAACATTGAGAAGTATGTTAAAGAATACAAAATCTGTCACTGGACTAAGTCAAGCATGCAGGCATGAGTAGTCTCACTTTATCTGAATGAGATTTCTACCAAACTATGAACTCATATTTCTATTAACATAATCACTGGACTTTCAGACTGTAATAGCTATAACACCATTATTATTATCAATCAGTTCTCAAAAGCAATCATTCTGATCATGTGTTTGACAGAACTGTCTTCTGAGAGATGGGTGAAGATTTGACATGATGAGGTTTATGCAAAGCATGAGATGCCTTAGGTCATTATTTTGGACTGAGGACCACAATTTATCTCTAAATTTCTCAATAATCTCTATTATCTTCTTAACATCTGAAGCAACATCTCAACTGCTTATCACCTTCAAACCGATAGGCAAACTAAACACATTAATCAAGAGATCAAGAAGTACCTTCAGATGTTTGTCAATGACAGACAAGATGATTGGACAGAGTGGCTTGCTCTGGCAGCATTCTAATATAACAACTATGTTTACTCTGCAACCAACAAGATCCTCTTTTTTGTTAACTATGGATGCTATTTCCATATTATAGTCATGAACTGACACAGCACTACCATCCTCACTTCCTCCAACTTCACACAACTCATAACTGCAATTCATGTCAAAACACACACTGCCCTTGAAAAAGCTGCCACCACCATAAAGACACAGTATGATAAACACAAGTGGCCTGCTCATAAATACTCTATTGCTGACAAAGTCTGGCTGGACACTAGCAACCTTCATCTCTCTTGTCTGAAATGCAAACTTGCTGATAAATAGATTGGGCCCTTTCTAATACAGTCAACTCTTTAATAACCCATACCTTCAATTACTCATAGTCTCTCATACTCTATAGATTTTTAAATCCACCAACCTCATTTGCAGAGAAATTGATACTATAAACCCATATTCTATACTCTATAGCTTTTTCTGAGAATCTGCTCTCTGATAACCTATAGATGCTTAGTCATTATGCTGACAGTAGCATCTAGCAATGTCAATTTAAGAGAGCCAGATGGTTGCTATATTGGGGCTGTTGTCAGAGAAATATAAAAACTCTGATGTGCCATTATCAACTGTCTCTACTGCTCTTTCTGTTGTACTAAAAGTCTTAGTATAATATTTCCAACTATCTATAAATTGAAAAAAGCTCTTCAAACCTGAAAAGGTGATACTGAAGCAAAGCAAGCAAGTATTTTTGCTAGGTTCAATGACAAGGGATCAGTCTCAGCAGAAGAAGAAGCCTGATTGGACAAAGCAGGGAATTTTGTTGATGAGAATATTATTATTGAGAAGCTCAAGTTGGCATCAGATTTTGGAGCTGTATTCAAGAATTTCAATATGAGCCAGAGGCATGCATATGACCAACTTGAGAGTCAAATTAAAAAATTTAATAAGTTATCTCTGAAGAAAAAAGATAAGCCATGCTTTAACTGTTGAATAGCATGTATTGATTCTTTATTGTGTAGCACCAGAAAGGCATATAGAGCATCACAGTAATGATAGAAAAGCACAAGCCAAAAAACAAAAAGAAGCATCTGCTGTGACTAGTGAGCAGCATGGTAAGCTGGCAATTCTGCAGCAGCACATTGAGGTTCTTGATTAGTATCATGCCAATAGAAGAAATCAATCCAAGATGGCAAGGCATTTCAATATCAAATATCCACATCTTAAAATCAAACAGCTGCTTGTCAGTGCATGGATAAAGGCAGAAGACAAGTGGAGGGAGAAGCATGAAAAGAGTGAGATAAATGGCCATCAAGTGAAGCATATGCATTAAACTCAGCATCCAGAGATAATCAAGATGATGAATTTATAGATCACAAAAGCAATAGCAAATAGTATCTTGCTGAATAGTGAAGTTTTATGCTAAAAGTGAATAGTATTTACAAATTTGAAGAAGGTACAAGAGGATGAGAGACTATACTTGAGCTCTGGATGGCTGTCAAAATTCAAAAAGTGAAATAATTTAAAGAAATTCAAATGACATGACGAAGCTGAATCTGTTGATCTCATTAAAGTGGATAAAGAATGAGAGTGCATCAAGGCAATCTTAGCTAAGTATAAGCTCTGTGATATTTATAATATGAATAAAACAGGCTTGTTCTATAGGTAAATACATTAGCTTTGCAAAAATATCTGACTAAAAAAAAACACAGTATGCCTTCTGACTATAGTCTTGCTGACAAAAAGCATTCTGGTGTTAAGAGAAGCAAAATTTGCTTGACATATGCATTCACTGTAAATTCTAATAGCTCTGACAAAAAGAGTCTTTCATTATTGAAAAAGCCTATAAACCTCATTCTTTTCAAAAGAAGTCAGATATACAGCTGAGCTTCTATTACTATAATAATGCAAAAGCCTGGATGATAATAGCTCTTTATAAGAAATGGATATTGTGATGGAATACAGAGCTGCAGATGAAGAAAAGAAATATCTTGCTGTTATAAGACAATCTCTCAGGACACATTATTCCTGAAGATGATCTGCAGTGCATAACTGTCAAGAATTTCAAATCTAACATGATTTTGCATATCCAGCTATTTGATGCTAGTATTATTCACTACTTTAAAGCCTATCACCAATCAAGCTACATCTGATGGACTATTGATCACTATGATAGTGATATCTCTCCTGCTAGAATCTACAATATCAATCAACTCAAAGCCATGCAGCTTGCTGATACTGCATGGAAATCAGTGGATGCTTTCACAATAAAGCACTGTTGGCAGAAAGCTAGGATCTTATTTGATATTTCTTTTGCTTCTGTTGTATCAGCATCAATTCCTATCACTTTTCTTGTTCAGAATTCTATTGCAGACATGGAGAAGCAGCTGAAGGAATCTCTTGATGATATCTAAGGCACAGGTGTATTGCAATACTATAACTATATTGATATCAAATTCTTGTTGAATCCAGAGATAGAGAACATAAATGTGAAAGAGACAACAGACAAAGATATCTTCAAAGCAGTGATGGCATCACAGAATGCAGAAGAAGGCATAGACAAGAATGGACTCAGAGGTGATGTTGATGATAGTGATGATTCAATGTTAGAACCTTGTTCTAGGCACTATAAGGCTCTTCAAGCTGTCAGGACTCTTCAAAAGTATATTGAGACTATGAATAATCCATTTGCTCAGAATTTAAAAAGCATTTTGACTTTGTTCAGACAAAAAACAAGGCTTGATGAGGCCAATTCACTTCAAGACAGCCAGATTATGAGCTACTTCACTTTTAAATAATAAGTATATTATATTATAAGCCTATTAACAAAATATAAACCTTTATGAGAGCCTCAAAATTGATCTACAATGATCTTTCTCTAACCTCATAGTCTCCTATAACCTATAACTCTGAGGGTTCATTAACCACTATAGATTATTAGAGAGTTGACTGTACTTATAAAAGTCAGCATCTTTGCATACTATCTGAAACTTTCTGACATCTGATGGGTTCATTCAGTATTCAACAAAATGCTTCTTACCTCCTATGTTACACCAACCTTTCCTAACCAGAAAGCTTCTTTCCTCTCTGGAATCTATTCTAATCAAAGATGAAGAACACTATGAGATTAAACAAATTTTGAATCACAAGCTCCACAAAGTTTATGCCTGTAGTGATGGCAGTTGCACTGTCATTTATTACTTTGTCAAATGGAAAGAATATGGATCTGAATCCAACCAATAGATTCATGAACAGGATCTCAATGCAGATAATGCCATTTATGACTATGAAATTTTCATCAATTGATCCATCAGGATAATAGTCTTAAGGAGAGAAGAATGATATTATAATTTTATCTATATCTGTTTTTCTTTCTTATCTTATTAGAGTGTCTATTCTATCTTGAGTGCTTTCTTGAAGGATGTAAAAAGGTTAAGTAATCACAATAGATGAAATGTTATTGTACTTGATCACCTTGCTCACAGACAATTTCTCATTGTCTCATCCTTGATAATTAGGCAGCTTCAATATCATAATACAGAATAACACAATAGGTAGTAGTTATATTTATTGCCAGCAGAAACAATATATAAATAGGATAGCTCTTGCTATAGTAGCCCAACTTCAAGTTATAAGTTTATCTTGTATTATCTTCTTTCAAGTTTAGCTTGTCTCTGGCCTTAAAGCACTTTGCCTGGTATAACACATTAAGTGGACTCTAGTGTGATTATACAAACATGATACAGTGCTAGTTTATCATGTGTCCAGATCATGTATCAGTTAGATTTAACACTTCATCAGACTAGAATAACTAATGTTTAACAAAACAGATTTTGTTAAAATCTAGAAACTTCCTCTCAAACCCAAGCAACAACTATTCAAAGTCAGAAAGCTGTAACAGCTATAATGAGGTTTGTGTCTTATTCTTCAGACTTCTCTGAGCAATTAGAGACAATTGCCTTGAAGAAAAGGTAATGTCATGATTTTTGCCTCTAATCACAATTTCTATTCTTTATTTATGATCTGCTTTTGCAACTAGCAAGAGATCATAAGAGTTTACAATATAAAAAGCTATATAGCATCAAATAAACATTGTAGTAATATTATATCAAAATATGAGACAGCTATTACAGACTCTAGATAATATATATCTATATATAGTATTATCTAACATATAATACAAAGTATATATGCCAACTAACATAGCATTTTTGAATAGTAGAGTATTTAGAAGAAACAGTTGTCTCCACATTACAGACAAAGACTTTTAAAAGGTGTCTATTATAACTAGTTTCAATATGCATAAAGATAAATACAATTGAATTATATCCACCTATTTTGCTGTAGAGACTAAACAGAAGCTAATATCTTTCTATTGTGATAATAATTTGTCCTTATTTAAGTTTGATTGTCATTTTATCTAAGGCACTATTATGCAGAATACAATAACTAAGTTCAGCAGCAAGCTGCAGGATATCTTTGTTATGATTTTTCCTATTTTCTTTTCTTTTTTCTCAGAAATGACCTCTATCTTTGCTTAGTCAGGGCACTTAAGCCAGTGCTTAGGACTGTGGGAATGCTTAGCTTAGCAACCCAATCAGTCACTCTCCTATCACATTGCTGTGTGCTGTGAAGGGAGAGACAATACTTCTTTTATCTTCAACTTGCAGTGCAATGACCACAGCACAACAGCATGACAACAGCTTTTGTGGAGAGCCTGGCAACAGCAGGGGTAACAGCTCTATGACAGACAATATCTTTTGTGAACATTTATTTATAGCACGATAACAGAACAGTATTTAAGTAGCATAGCTCTCGCTGTAATACCCCAGCTTCGAGCTAAAGTTTATTCTCTACCATCCTATCTCGAGTGACTTGCAAACACCTTGACCACATACCTCTGTTAACACATCAGTGAACTCAGTCAGTCTAACCTGAAGTGCGAGATTCTGAACTGTTTATCATGTGTTGATAGTCACATGAAGTTTAGGCTTAACAATTAGCTCAAAGCTTCTAGCTTCCCTTCTTTGAGCCTGAAGGCTAAAAGAACTGAATGCTTCTTACTGACCTCTTCTCAATCAACCAAACAAGACATTATATATCTTCTATCAACAGCTCTATCAACTCCAAAGTCTCCCCTTCCTCAATTGAATTGCTGACTGTTCTTCTAGAAACTCTAACAACCAGGATAATCAGGGATTATCAAGAGAAGGATGATGTCATCCAACAACTCATCAATGGCCTCTCTACCGAGGTCTGAATCATCAAACACAGACTCGGACAAGGGTCTGAAGGTATGGGCCAATCAGGTTCTTGCAAAAAGGAGGAGAAACCCCTCTTCAGTTCCTTATGGATCCTGACCCCTGACTCTGACTCCACTGACACATTGGTGGAAGAAGAGGAGGTTGAGCATGGCCAGCAGTGGGGGAGCGAGCTCAATGAGGAGCATCGACAATTAGCTGGAATTGGCTGACCCACAGAATGGGGCTCAGCCCCAAAAGCCTGAGAGCATCGAAGATGGCCCTCAGACACAGAATGAGATGAAAATCTTGAAGACGATCCCTATGCCCCAGATCATTGGGATGAACCCAGAGATGATCAGAATCAAAGTACCAATCCTCGATCAACAGTCACCGAAGAAAGCAGCACAGGCAGTCAGGAACTCCTGTCAGCCAGGGGGTGAAAATGGGCCTCAGGCACTGAGTGGAATGAAGATCCCAAGGACGACCTCTATGAGGTCGACCGGTGGGATGATGCCACCAATGAAGGAGAAAGCAGTCCAGACAGACCCCTATCCAGCGAGTCAGAAAGCAGCAGCTCCCTGGCAGATGATGAGTCCTTCGATTGGACCATCAAAGCAAGATTACCATCTAGGCCAACACCCTAGATCAGCAATAGAGCCCTTTGAGGGTTCTTGCACAAGAAGCTCACCACTCTCTTCTTCAATCAGGACTTCTTTGAGGAATTCCGGAAATACACCAAATGAATGAAAGGAGAAAGGGAGTGGCAGCACAATGCCGAGACCAAAGGAGTTTGGGACCTACCCACCTGAGGGGTCCCATACTGGAAGGACTCCAATAATCCCCAAGGCCAATATTGGCCTGAGGAAAGATGGAGAAATAGAAGAGGGGAAAGATATCTCCTCCGCAAATAATTGCTGGATGCGAATCATAGATGAGGAGTGAGAGGACTGGAAGAGTGGGAAGGGTGAAGATTGAGACAGTCGGCAAAACTGCTGGCTGATCCTCAATGAGAGGGGACCACCGTTAGCACCAGGGATGCCCCTGGTACTACCAGAAGACGAATACCTGCCATTTCCAGCAAGTACCCCACCACCCTGGAGGAGAAGCCCTTCCAGGAACAGTATGGCATTTTGGCTTTCCAAGAAAAAGCTGAAATATCCAAACCCCTGGAAGATCTCCAACTTCCTACCGAAGCCGTTTGCTGGACAGCTGCTGCCTGATGAAGCCAAAAGAAGCAGATCAGTTTCTACTGATTCGAAGATGGACGATCCTGCAGCAACAGCCTAGGGTTGAACCATCAAGGACAAGCAGATTATCCGAAAGGAGGGGCTACCGACTCCAAGAAGCCTCATTGCTGATGATGAATCCCTACACTCTTTTTCAGGTCCCCTGATAGATTGGGCTGGCCCACCTGGGGGAGAGCTCCTGAATCTGATGTCACCTCTCAATCCAAAGGTACAAATATTGAATGTCCAACTGACATTTGGGTGGGAGCCTCTTCCTTTTAAAGAGGCTTCAGACGATATTGACCACTTCCTTATGGACTGCGACCAATATTTCCAGGTTTTTGCCTCATACTTCCTCCATAACATGTACAAGGTAAACTATGCCACCACCTACTTTAAAGACAAGGCAAAAGTATAGTGGGTACTGCTAGCCCTCAACTTCTAGTCGACTACCTGACAGCATCACTAGTACCTCTCCTGGCCAGTCCTGAAGCAGATGATCCATGACAAGTTCACAGACCCTGTCATATGAGAAGTCCACAGGTCAAAGATGAAGGAATACAAGATGGGTGACAAGGTGGTGCTAGATTACTTCAATGAATTGGAGCGACTCAGAAAACTCGCTGGAATCAGGGAAGACATAGCCAACTCAGAACAAATAGTCAAGTACATGAAGTGGGGACTGCCACCTCATTACCCAAAGACTATTTCGGATCTTGGCCACAGCATGCCAGTCAGCTATGACAATTGGAAGGTGTAGATCGTCCTAATGTGGCAGAAGTGATGGTGACAGAAGGCAGAAGCAGCAAACCTGTGGGACCAGCACAGGTACCAGGGACAGGGCTTGAAGCCCTCCACCTCTCATGTGACCACATCTGCCAGGCCCGGTAGCTCAGCTCCAACTTTCCAGAATGATGGGAAGCAAACTGGTAAGGGCCCAAGTACCAGAATGGGTAAGCAGATTGATGTGGATCACCTCAAGAAGAAGGGGAAGTGCTTCAATTGTGGCCAACCAGAGCACATAGCATGAAATTGCCCAGAGAAGAAGAACAAGTGCATGCAAGAGGATATCAGAATGCAGATCACCGAGTTAATAAAGAAAGCACAAGACCTCAGAGATGACAACAAACCTGAGGAGATAAAAGATGGGGCTGAGCAGTAAGCGATTCAACTGCCTCGGCCAAGGATGACAGTAATGAGTCATATTCTGCTGGACAGACTGACACTTTATCTTCTGTAGTATTACACCCTGTGTCTAAATTATACATGCATTCGAATATACTCGACCCTATTACTTAGAACCCAGAATCGCTTAAGGAACTGACTTCT